GTCCCCGCCGGCTGCCGGCACTGAGCGGCCCCGAGCTCCCCGCAGGGCTGGGACCGTCCCCAGCGGCTGTGCCACCCGACGGGCTGCAGGCTGCCTTTCCCCAGAAGGCTTTCCTCACAGCCCGGCTGTGCAAGGGAACAGGCTGCAGCCTGCACTGGCTGAGGACAGGCAAGACCAGGGGAATCTTTAGGTCAGCAGGAGCTGGGTGGGGTGATCCACACCTTCCTTCGTGGCTCAGACTTCCTTGCTTTTCCCTGGAGGAGCACACAAACCTGTAGGAATCCCTGAGGATTGCGTGATGAGGTTGCTACTCGTGGGGATTTCTGCAGAACAGCCAGAGTGGAAGCCAGCATGGTGGGAGCTTTGATTTTATCAGTACCTCAGATCCAAGAGTTGTGATCTTCCCTGCGGCCAGACATAGCTGCTCCTCACAGCCTCTTGGAAGGCAAGGATCCCTGAAGAAGCCACCTGGACTCCTCTCACCTCATCTTCTCCTGGCATCTGTGGCCACACATCCAGGCTGCCCTGAAGGTAAATGAACCGTGTTGATGGGTTAGTTGGAGAGGGAGGGGGGGGTGCTGAGGACACTTTGGGGAGATGACCACCACCTGAGCTGCTCTAGTCTACATCAGACCACAGGTCATCCCAAACTTGTGGGCGGCCCTGGAAGAAGGGCTTGGAAGACCACAGGGTACTGGTACTGACCAAACTCTGCAGCAGCTGTGCTGTGTCAGTGCTTTCCTCTGCCACAGCAATGCAGGGCAATCCCTGCCTGCACACAAGCTTTGCCTCCTGAAGCCCAGCTAAGCCCACACTATTGGAGAGACATTTAAATCGTTGTTTTGGCTCTTTGGCTGGCTGGAGAAGTTGGCTTCTGACCATGCACCCACCTGGGGCCTCGCCGTATGTGGCTCCCTGGCAGTTTTGGGTCTCTGGGGCTCTCACAGGCAGCTGGATGAGCTGCGAGCTCAGAACTGCCCTGAGAGCCCTTCTATAGGCATGGCTGGTGCTGGGGCCATGTGAGTATCACTTGTGCAGGTGTCAACCCCTCCAGATTTCTCCTGGGCATTTGGGTCCTGCCTGCTCTTTCAGAAATCCCATTCTCCCAAGGGCCAGGATATTTTCTTCTCTACCACATATGTGCATGTAGATACACCTATTTTCAGTAGACATCTCTACCCTCTACTATTGATGGAGAAAGCTGGCAAAAGCTTCAGAAAGGTACCCCAGAAAGAGAGAAATAACAAAGAAACAGTCATGAAGGTTAATATGTTTTTCACGTTGTAGTGTGGGGCTGGCTGATGGGAGCCAGCCGGTGAAGGAGCACCAGCCACATGTGCTGGGATGGAAGAAGGGCTGTGGAGCAAGCAGGTCAGACAGGGTGCTGCCAGGGCCTGCTACAGTCACTCTGATCTTTGCTTTATTCTGCTAGTGAACAGATAGAACTGTTAAAAATGGTTAACTTTTTTTTTCTTTTTCCTTAATAAAAATAGCTTTAGAAGCAAACAGGAAATTACAGACTGAGGAGTGCAATGAAGAGGGGAAAAAGTCAGACAGCTACCTCGCTGTGCTTGCATTTGTCTATAAATACAGCTCCACGTGGGGTGTCGCCTGCCCAAAGGCAACCAAACCGCGCTCAGACTGGTGGGGATCGGGGAACGGGGGTGGAGGGGGAACATCTCCCCTCCGGCGAGGGTGACGCACCGAGGGTCGGATGAGGGGCTGGCGCTGGCTGAGCACCGAGCTCAGCTGGCACGGAGCTCGGTGGGCGGGGGGGCGGCGGGAGCAGAGGGTGGAGCAGAGGGTGGAGCAGAGGGAGCAGCGGGCGGAGCAGAGGGTGGAGCAGAGGGTGGAGCAGAGGGTGGAGCAGAGGGTGNCGGCTCAAAGGCCCCGGGGATTCCGTGACAGGGTAGTCTTGAGGGAAAAGACAATATACATGTGGTAGTTTCGGGCCTCCTTTGGTGTGCCAGCCCAAGTTGCTGCCTAACTCCCTCCCGCTCTCCTGATGGCGGGTTCAGTCGTCAGCTCACACTCTTTCTCCAACACCTTCATCTCGCTCGGCAGCAAACGCAGGCAGGGTGCAAAATATGACGCAAAACCGAATCCGTCTTTTATTGTGAGGGTTGTGGGACACTGGATCACGTTGCTTAGGGAGGTTGTGGTTGTCCCAACCCTGGAAGCGTTCAAAGCTATGTTCGATAAAGCT